GCTAAAAAACTATTGAATAAAAGGACTTTTAAGTTTAAATGTCGTGAAATAATTCGTCAAAGTATAAGAAAGGTAAAATGTCGTGCCATACATAGAAAAAGATCCTGGTCCTCCAATATATTTTGACCCTAATTAAACAATAACAGCTCCATAAAGTCAAGGTAACGGGTTAGTTTTTGGACAGATTGCAAGAAAAAAAATGTGTTGCAATAAGTTTGTGCTCTTTGATTGATAATAACATACGGGAGATCAGCCCTGCAAATGATCTTACACAAACAATGAAAATTGGAAATCAGTTTTATCAAACTTTGTCATGATTATCCAGACAGGAATTTTTAATGCAGTGAGAACTACCAACTGTATTAAATGTGTTTGATACTGATTACTGGAATATAGCTACTACTCTAGTACTGTTCACCAAGAAACTGCCATAGAGGGATATCAGTACTGTACCTTTTTACAAAGAGCCTTTGAGTCGTTCATATCTGAAAACTACACCAATTTCATATTAACAATAAGTTGTATTGCTGTTGCAACCCAACCCAAAAGAGTTTCAGAATGAAGAGCTTAGGTGGAACGGCTAGGACTCAAAAGATATTCACGATTGAGAAAACAAGATTGGATTGGGTTGATCAGCTCCGCTGACAAAATTCTTCACCATCCAGTTCCAGAAATTGATGCTCCACTTCTAACACCAACAAGATATGTGCCGCGTACCGGCCTGGCCAAAGGCTTCCCTGTAAAGTACAAGTCAATGAATCTGTCCCTTTGGAGCCTGGCCAAAGGCTTGAACAATAAGGAAGGAATGAAATCATAAAAAAATTCGAGGAGATGCTTGGACTACGAAATAGGTCGGAGGCGACACGAAAGGTTTTACCAGAAATTAAAGTATCTAATCCAAAAGAAGTACAGCGAGAACGAAAAATCAGTGAGATCAAAGAGATTAATAGAAACAGCATTCAACTCAGAATTAGTTAAATAGCCAGCGCATTGAGAGGTTTCGCAAGGTAATTTAGAGTTGACGGTATGGCTGGTTTTGGACCGCAAAGGGGCCCCTGGTACAGAGTGCTTGAACCGAGAGAATTTATGCAAAGGGCAAAACCTGAAGTCTTGAAGCTAGTGAGAGAAATTGAAGGAATAGAGGTAGGATGATTTGGAATTGTGAGATGGTTAGAGAAGAATTATTCAATGAGAACGTTGAACCTCTGGGTCCTCATTTCCAAAGCAAAGTAATCCCAAATCTTAAAGCATTTGACGAATCTGAAGAATTTGACACTTCTATGGATACCCTTAAAAAAAGACTTCTGAATGTTAATGAAAGAGGAAGCAACTGGAGATTTCAAAGAGTGATATCTCTTGACATCTTGAACACTAAAAATGCGAATAATCAGCGTCTTAAGTGGTGCATAACAAGAGCGTTTAACATGGTTCAGAAAGACCCTCAAAGGATCACAAAACTCCTCGGAGCACAATTTGAGAAGGTCGACTGGAGTGGTATCAACTTCCCGATGAAGCTGACTGATATGAGCAAGTTTGAAAAGCAGAATGAAAACAATGTAGTAAACGTATAAAAAGAGTATTGCTCGAGGAATGAGGCAGTCAGGATCGAGATACCAGATGAGGGTAGTGTGCTTAAATTTAAGAATCATAACCGCTCAATAAGAGTACCTTTTGTGGTTTATGCTGAATTTGAGGCTTATACTAAACCTATAAGTGGTTGTGAGCCAAACAGTGATGATAGCTTCACAAACAAACACCAAAGGCACAAACCATGTGGGTTTGGCTATCAAATCGTTTGCTTTGATTATAAGCTTTATTTACAAGAGCCAGTCATCTACAGAGCAAAGAGCGAGGATGAAGATGTTGCTCAGATATTCGTTTAAATGCTTGAGGAATTCGATCTTGCCAAGAAGACGATCTTCACTCGTAAGGACGGGCTTAAGTTCAAAAAAGCAAAGCGAAGATGGATTTTTGGCAAGGTCCATTTAACAATGACAATGACAAAGACCGCTCTGCGGCCCGGCCGAAGGCTGACAAATTGAGGGACCACTGCCATTTTACAGGGAAGTATTGTGGAGCAGCCCACTAGAAATGCAACCTACAACTCAAGAAGCCAGAGTTCACTCCTATGATATTTCACAATTTAGCAAACTATGATTCCCATTTATTCCTTCACAATCTCGGTAAAAGCGAGGGAAACATCAAATATATTCCAAATAATGAGGAAAAGTACGTCAGCTTCAGCAAAGACGTCGTTGCTGAGAATTTCAGAAATAAAGAAGGAAAATAAGTTAAAGTCAAGAACGAGCTTCGCTTTATTGACAGCTTCAAGTTCATGGCTTCTTCCCTTGATAAACTAGTTTCAAACTTGAGTCTTTAGAAGTTGAAGGAAACTGAGAAGGTCTTTATGAATAAAATCGAGTTCATCTCAAGAAAGGGTGTGTACCCATATGACTACATGAGCAGCATTAAAAAGTTCAATTTACCTCCTAAGGAAAAATTATACTCTTAGCTGAATGGTTGTGGAATTTTAGATGAAGATTATGAGCACGTGCAGAAGGTCTGAAAAGATTTCGAAATGAAGACGATGGCTGATAACCATGACCTTTACTTCAAGACAGAAGTTGTCTTGCTTGCAGACGTGTTTGAAGGGTTCAGAAGTTTTTGTCTTGCGAATTACGAGCTCTACCCCTGTTTGGTATTTCACCGCTCCTGGATTGGCTTCCGATGCTCTATTCAAAGGGTCGTAACAAAAATTTGAATCACTCACTGATATAGACATGCTGCTGTTGGTCGAAAAAGGAATTCGTGGAGGAATCTCAGTGATCCATTTATGCATGAAGCTTATGATCCAAGCAATCCAACAAAATACATCATTTATCTTGATGCGAATAATCTCTATGGATGGGCAATGTGTCAGCCTCTTCCTAATGGAGGTTTCAAGTGGATGCAGCTACGCTGCCTGGCCGAAGGCTTGACTGACTTTGACCACTGGCAAGATTTTCTTGTATCCTTGAAGTTGATCTTGAGTATCCGAAAGAGCCACACGCTCTTCACAACGATTATCCCCTTTCCGCTGAGAGGTTGATGATCAACAAAGTAGAAAAACTTGTTCCAAATCTAAATGATAAGGTTGATATGAGATACGATAAGGTTGATATGAGATACGTTGTTCGTCACAAAGCACTCAGGCTGTATGAAAGCCTTGGTTTAAGGACCAAAAGATTCATGGAGGAATCAGTTCCCGTGAAAAACCTTGGATGAGATGAAAGACTATGTCTTCGGAAAAAACTACGGAAACTTTGTGGATTTGGTGTGGATTTGAGTTTAGTCAACAACCGCAAGAAAGCACTAAAACTTGCAGCAAAACCAAACTTCAAGCATTGCACGATATTTGATGAAACCCTCGTTGCGATCCCCATGAAGCAAACTAAGCTGGTGTTCGATAAGCCAGTATATTGCGGAATGAGCATCCTTGATATCAGCAAGACCATGATGTATGAGTTCGTTGGATTGAGAGCAAAACTCTACAGCTACAAGATTTTTGAAGGAAGCGAAGCAAGGCCCTCTGGGCCAAAAGAGGAAAAAAAGTGTAAAGGGACTAAGAAGGCTGTAACAAAGAAGAATATAACTCATGACGACTGCAAGGAATGCTTATTCAGCGAAAACATGCAAATGAGGTAAATGAATGTGATCAGATCACATGAGCATGAGGTATTCACTTAGACCATCAAGAAGATAGCTATGAGTGCTGAGGATGATAAGAGAATAATAAGAGAAGACAAGACATCAACTTTTGCTGATGGTCACTACAGCTGCGCAGCCTGGCTCGAAGAGCTTATCAATTAAATAAATTAAAAATATGAATCCTGATAATATTCCATTCAATGCATTAATAGTCTGATCAACGAAATCAGGAGAGACAAGATACCTGGTCAATCTCTTGAGCACCACCGTCCAGGGAAAGTTCGATTACATCGTTCTCCTCAGTCCAACATTTATCCGAAACAAGACCTATGTTGGCTTCGCAGAAAATGATAGAGACCTACTTATCTTAACTCCACTCCAAGGCCAGATTAATAATTGGCTCAAGATTATCAGTTATGTTTATGCGGGAACAAATACACTGATCATTCTCGATGATTGCGCAACTGCGAGAGATGTGAAGCAGAGGACGAATGAACTTGTGAATTACGCGTTCAGCGCAAGACATGAGGGAATCAGCATTTGGGTCCTCACAAAGCAGATCAAAAGTACGAAGAACCATTCAGAGAACACTGCTGCATTTTCGAGGATTGCGCGGGTGAATTGATAAAAGATGAGCTGATGGAATAAATAGGAAAGCTAAAGAGAGCGAAATATTCAAATCTCATCTTCTCTCTTCGCCATCCTTACAGTATTGATCTTGAAGTTGCACGAAAATATTTGTATTCCTCGAATAAAATGAAGATGATTGACTTGGAAAAAGACACTGTGAGTGATTCCGAAGATGGCGAGCAGCTCGCTGTTCACGTTGCAAGTGGAAAAGCGATGGAAATGATTGGTATATCTCTCACCCAGGATCAAGTCAAGAAGCTTTTTGAACAAGATGTTGTGAAGTACTTCAAGAGATATGAAGCTTCATTGTCTTCAAAGACTTGCGATGCAATGGTTGATACATTTCTTTAGCTTCCGTGTAAAGCTTTGGGTCATTTCTCCCTGTTGAGGAGGGAAAACGTCTGAAGGACTTGAGTGATAACTTCATGGTAAAGAGAGAAATCGGAATGATTACCGGTGGATTGAGTCTTAAGTATGGAAGGTACATGGCAATTGCAATTGCTGCTCTTCTCATTGCCAAAAATGTTGAAGTGCCCTTGATCAATGATAAGGAAAACGATGATGTTAGTGAAGAAACTGAATAAGTTCTTAGCAATTAGTTGAATAAGAACTTGTCTAAGAACTTGTCTAAGAACTTGATAACAGCTAGAATAAGAACTTAAAATAATATTCCAACAAACAAAATGGATGATAAAAAACTTAAGACTGAAGGAGCACCAGCTAGCCTTCGGCCGGGCCTCGTAGAGGCTCAACAAGTGATTTCAACAATTAAAATAAGACAAAACCAAATAAGACCCAAGGCGTATCGCAGCTGGAAAAAAAAACTTGCTGAACACAACAGAAGAGTGAGAGAGGAAAGGAAGAGGAAGAAAGGAGGTTCAAAGCAACCCGAAGATCCTAAGGATCCAGGCCCAGAGGGGCAAGCACCACATGTGTAGGATTACATCCAGAACTAGAAACATCATCATAATTGTCACTCACTCAGATTCTTTCAGTAACAAGTGAAGTTCTCTCGCTTGCTGGACTGTACTATAAAAGAAGAGAGTTGAAGGCTTGCCTCTCGTTAATAAACCAAAACCACAGGTGCAAGCACAGCGAAGTGAAACGCAGCAAAACACACAAACACAGACTGCCTCTTCGAGACCTAGCCCTTCACGGCTTATCCCTTCGAGGCTTCTTACAAGAGTAAAGCCAATAGATTGATTTTTTTTTTGGCTTGTCAAAATAGAATGTCTGATAATAAGCTTGTGGAAACATTGACCGATTCAGCTACATTGACTGGATTGGCTTCTGGACTTGAATGGGTTGCAAAGAAAGTCATTAAAGAACCCTTGACTTTTGGTTTTAGTTCAAATCTCATGAACTATGTGAAGTTCACCATCGTAAGCGTTGCGTTTTTCGCGGCAAAACGGTACCTTAAAGATCAAAAGATTTTGTCATCTTAAAATGTTAGGCCGATTAACAATTAATGCAACTAAGTTAGCAGCAGTCTGCGCAATTATTGAACTGTCTTAATATTCTATACCAGTGAAACCTTTGGCCAGAACGAGGAGCGGGATATAGAGGAAGAGCTTCGTGAAAAGTTTCATAATGAATACTTGTTATGGATTTTCAAGAGTAATAAAGCAGATGGTAAATAAAATGGCAAGCATACCGGTAATGATTGGGGGAGTGCTTAATTATACGACCGCCTTTGTTGGTGGAAGCTCGCAAAGTATTTGGGTGGAGACCAGTGCTGAAGAAGAGAAGAAGAAGCATGATCTCGCTGTGTAGAAGTACCATGCGGCCTATAAAAAATTTCAAGAAAATTGAACAAAGCTTCTCGATTGGATTACAACTAATGGCAGAGTCAAGGAGCAGTCAAAACAGAATTTTGTGGACGTAGATTATGCTTTGAAGCTGCACAACAAGGCGCATAATCAAGCTCTTGACTTCAAATGATTCTTCTTAGGACTCAAAGGCTTTTAAACAATCTTTAAGCGTGGACCACTGAGATGGCCAAAAGTTCTTCAGGTTGATCTTGGGTGTGAATTTATGGGTGATGTCACAAGAGATGTGGCAAAGGATGACGTCAGGATAAGAAGAGGGAATGTGAACGTTCACAGAGATCAGGGAATCGTTGAGCGATTCAATCAAACTTCGGGTGAACGCCTCTTCGCTTTCCAATACAGTTAACAGATGAACTTCAAAGACAAAAAGAGATCAACCGAAAGGGTGACGAGGCGTCCGGAAATTGTATTGGCTTTGAATAATGAAGGGACAAAAATTGACAGGAAAGAAATCTGTGGATGCAATCAAACAGAAAGTGGTTGACGCAAAGAGTTCAACGACTTATTGAATTCGCTTGAAGAAAAAGAAACTTGACTCTTCAAAGAATGTGAGATATCTCTTTGCCACTGGTGAGCTGGTAGATGGTCAGAGGCGAGCCACAGGTCCAATCTGGTCCCTGAAGGTCTTCTATATATAGATAAAAAAAACACCTGTGAAAAAGGCGAGCCTGTTCTCTACACTTTGAAAGATGGACCAAAGCGTGGTTTCGTCAGAGAAGAGCTTCAAATTGTTCCTTCTGGAACTGAGTTACCTCCTGAAGGAATTCATGATCACTGATTTGAAAAAAAACTATTAAAAATGAATCAACACCTCCATCGTTCAATAGAATCGTTCAAGAGAATAATATTCGCACCCTCTTCAGAACTTACGCGTGAGACATTGTGAGGCTGTGAAAAATTCAGGTTTCTTTAAAATCAAGGTTGTTTTGAAAATGCGCCATAAATGTTTTTTGAAATCAAGGTTGTTTTCAAAATGTGCCAGAATCCCCCTATTCCCATTCTCCTACCACATTAACCCCCATCTACCATAAATTAACCATGTTCACTTCATTTAACCACAACTACCCTTGATTAACCATGCTATACCACACTAACCCCTATATACCCCTTAGTTTACCATGTCCTACCACATTAACCCCCATCCACCCTAAGTTAACCATGTTATTCTTTAAGTTAACCATGTTCTACCGCATTAACCCATATCTAACCTTAGTTCTACCCCATTAACCCCCATCTACCCTAAGTTAACATTAACATCCATCTAGCTTAAGTTAACATAAAAACTGCCTCTGATTATGCAGGATAGACGTGCCAGAACATGGTAAACTAAGAGTGGATGAGAATAAATGTGATAAAAGATGGTTAATTAGGAAAAGATGTTGGTAATGCGGTAGAAGATGGTTAGCTAGGGGTAGATGAGGGTTATTGTAGTAGAATACGGTTAACTAAGGGTAGATGGGGGTAAACGTGGTAGAACATGGTTTACATAGGGTAGATGTGGGTTAATGCGGTAGAACGTGGCTAAGTAGGGGCCGATGTGGGTTAATGTGGTAGAACATGGCTAACTAGGGGAAGATGTTGGTTAATGTGATAACATATGGTGAGCTTAGCGTACATGGAGTTTACGTGGTAAAACATGATCAAGTAAGGGTAGATGTGGGTTAATGTGAAAGAGCAAAGTTAACTTAGGGTATACGGAGGTTAACCTGGTAAAACACGGTTAAGTAAGGATAGATTTAGTTTAATGTGGTGAAACATAGTTAACTAGGGGTCGATGTGGTTTAATGAGGTAGAACATGGCTAATTAGGGGTAGATGTGAGTTAATGTGGTAAGCATAGCTAACTTAGGTGGTAGAACATGGTTAACTCAGGGAAGATCTAGGTTAATGTGAAAAACATGGTTAACTAGGGATAGATGTGGATTAATGTGGTAGAATATAGTTAACTTAGGTTAGATTGGGGTTAACGTGGTCAAACATGGTGAACTAAGGATAGATAAAGGTAAATGTGGTAGAACATGATTAACTCAGGGTGGATGTGGGTTAACGTGGTAGAACATGGTTAAGTAAGGGTAGATGGAGGTTGATGTTGTAGAACATGGTAAACTAAGAGTAGATGTGGTTTAATGTGGTAAAACATAGTTGATTAGGGATCGATGTAGGTTAATGTGGTAGAATATGGCTAACTAGGGGTAGATGTGATAGAACAGGGCAAACTAAGGGTAGATGGGTGTTAATGTGAGAGAACATGGGTAACTAAGGATAGACGTGGGTTAATGTGGTAAAACATGGTTAACTTAGGGAAGATAGGGATACGTGATAGAACATGGTTTAGTGTGGTAGAACATGGTTATCTAAGAGTAGATGTGGGTAAATGTGGCAGAATATGGCTAACTAAGGGTAGATGGGTGTTAATGTGGTAGAACATGGTTAACTAAGGGTAGATGTGGGTAAATGTGGTAGAATATGGCTAACTAAGGGTAGATGGGTGCTAATGTGGTAGAACATGAGCAACTAAGGGTAGAGGTGGGTTAATGTGGTAAAACATTGTTAACTTAGGGAAGATGGGGGTTAACGTGGTAGAACATGGTTAACTTAGGGTAGATGTAGTTTAATGAGGTAGAACATGGTTAACTACGGGTGGATGGGAGTTTATGTGGTAGAACATGGTTAACTATGGGTCTATTTGGTTTAATGTGGTAGAACATAGCTAACTAGGGGCAGAGTGGCTGAATGTGGTAGAACAGTTTTTTTTTGTAATTTCTTTATTTTTAGGCATTTTACAAAACATAACTCTACTTACAATACACTACAGGACTCAGTTTCAATACGTCACTTACAATGATTTACTGAGAACACACTACTAACAAAGTATAGTTTACAATAGACTTGATTACAGTAGATGACTCACTTTCGATTACTTACACTAACTACACAATACTCTACATTTACATTATTTTACGACATATTGCACTACTTTCAATATGTTAAGGTAAATTACTTACGGTAGCTTACTAATAGTATGTAGCGAAATCGTATGCTTTACGATAAAATTTGACTTCTTATGCTACTCTGCATTGTTTGAACGACACTCATCCCACAAACCGATATGTAGCAAAGCTTATCCCATTTCTGAAAATGTTTAGCTAATTTATTCTGCTTTGCTGCTATCTTCAGTTCTACCTGGTATATCTCCCTGATCTTGGCCTTATAAACCCGTATGGAGGGATTCTTAGAATTCAATTTACATTTGTATATATAAAATTTAGCTGTCGGTGTTAGATGATTTAGAATAGTAAAGTCCTCTTCCGCATTGAAAACTCCAAAAAATATATCCATTATTGTAAATGTTTGAAAGTTAATTTGACATTTACCAAGCCAAGAGCAGAAAGCTTCCCAGAAAGCCTTTGTAACATTGCAGTAGAAATTTTTTCGTTTACAAAAAGTACATAAAGGCGAATCCAATCCCCACCTAAACAATCTTTCGTTTGTAAATGCTATATTATTTAATACTATATATTGGCATTCCCTAATTTTTTAGTTTCAATTTTGACGGTAAAAGGCAAGGAGTATATTTTCTTCCAGGAGGCAAGCCTCAAATGAAAGAATCTTGCAAAAAGATCGAGGATCTGTGTTCGTCGTTTGATTTGATAGATATATGGAGAGTCAGAAATCCAGATGTCAAACGTTTTACGTGGAGACAAAGAACCCAGTCGTACAGCGCCGTTTGGATTTTTGGTTTATCACCAGCAGTATTCAGGAAGAGGTAGAGAATGTAGGTATTATTCCGGCAATAAGAACCGATCACTCCGCTATTTCAATGCATATAAATGGAATCGAAGAAACAGGACGGGATCCATCTTTTTGGCAATTTAATTCCAGTCTTTTAGAAGATGATGATTACATTAAATTAGTAACTGATAGATGTAACATCCGGCTGGAAGAAGGAAAGGATATCCAAGATCCCACGGTCCTTTGGGACTTCACTTAGTACAAAATCCGCTATGAAACAATTTCCTATATTAAACAGAAGGCTAAAAATCGAAAGGAGAAACTATCAGTGTTGGAACAAAAATAAAAAAATGCACAGCAAACTGTGATGAACAGCCTAACCCAGCAAACGTGAACGAACTGGAAATCCTGCAAACTGAATATGATAGACAATATGAATATATAGCTCAAGGGGCAATTATCCGATCAAGAATAAATTTGGTACGAACACGGAGAGAAAAGCAATAAATGTTTTTTGAATTTAGAAAATCATAAAAATAAAAAAAATCGGTATTAGAAAATTAGTGGTCGCAAACGATGAATGCACGACTGATCCGAAAAAGATGATGGCGGAGATCCAGAACTTTTATGGAAGTCTCTATGATACAGGTTTACGTGATTGCAATGACATATCAACCGATCAATTCCTTAAGAATATTAATACTAAAATGCTGACGGACGAGCAGCGGGGGCTTTTGGACAACAATATTAAAACTAATGAATATTTCGAAGCTTTGAAATCTTTTCAGAAAAACAAAGCACCGGGAAGCAATGGTTTGACTG